CATCGCCACTCGGATTACGGTTAAAATTCACGTGAACCATGAGGTGGTACTGGTTAACCAGTAACAATGTACGTAAAACAAAATAGTGGGTGTGGGTAAAATCATTTGTCACTGTTGGCCTCGTAACTCGGAAATTTCGATTAGAATCCGAGTTAGTGTGAGATTATCCCAGTGGCATGGTGAATAACACCCGGTTGTGCACATTCAAAATACAGACACACAATTTTCCAGCAAAATGTTTGTGATACATACAGTTATATTAAAACGTATGAAAAGACGTTTTGCTTTGCATCGCGTGACATTTGGCTCGGGCGATTTTGGCTGACTGGAATATTGCATGAAATATTCAACGTTTCTCTGAGGCACTGCCGAGATACAGTAAACTAAACTCGGTGTGTACTTGGGCTTCCATGCTTTTACGAGCTTGCATGTATCGGAATAGGTGATAGTGAAATGAGTGAAGTATGGTATAACTACTGTTCCGAGTAACTGTCGCTACAGTTGCGTATATAATCGGTGAATGGGAAACAATCAGCGAAGCTACGTCAGATGGCAAATCATCGCGAGAATGGGGAGAACATAAAAGACAGGTGAATGTGTTATGCATGCAGCCGAGAGAAATTTCGGGTCATACGATTGATTTTTAATTCGGGGAGTGTTGGAGATGGATTGACGGATTATGATCACAACTTTTGGGTTGGTAGAATGTGTCACCGGAAGGGTTCCTATTATCAGAAGTCGAGGGACAGATTTACGTTCAGTATTCAGATGTAGAGCGAATGGAACAAGAATGGAAAACTATTCTCGGCAAACCCTCGTAGAGAATCTTAAAGTTATTCGTATAGAAATATATGGAAACGATGACTGGGGAAGTTTAGCATGCATCCAATAATAGGTCTTTGCATAAACAACAATAGTTCTCTACTTTCTTTCTTCCCTCTCATCAAACCCTTCAAATTGTTTCACTCGCATCCCATATACTTTCCAATGTACGAAAAATCTCTATTTACCTCTTTTTGTGTTTTGATATCTATTGTACACGGTACATTATCATAATATTCAACTAAATATTTCTGTAAATACCAGGCTGAAGGCCTTCGGGCGATGGCCAGTCGCAAATCCCTTGCGGCAAATCACGATAAAAATAAATAAATAAATATTTTCGGATTAAGTACTACGAAGATATGTAACGGTCTTTAGATGATTCTGAAATAAGATTTAAGTTGAATGTGTTCGTTTTGAATCCTGTTGAAAATTTTTAAGAGAGTGAAGGGGGTAACTACTGTACGACAAACTGTCCCTGCAGTTGCGTATATAATCGATGAATGGGAAACAATCAGTGAAGCTACGTCAGATGGAAAATCATCACGAGAATGGAGAGAACATAAAAGACAGGTGAATGTGTTATGCATGCAGTCGAGAGAAATTTCGGGTCACACGATTGATTTTTAATTCGGGGAGAGTTGGAGGTGGATTGACGGATTATGATGATAACTTTTGAGTTCATAGAATGTGTCACTGGAAGAGATTCTGTTATCAAAATGGCGAAGTCGCAAGACAGATTTACGTTCAGTATTCAGATGTGGAGCGGATGGAACAAGGATGAAAAATTGTTTACGGGATTATACACTGCGAAGATATGTAAGTCTTTACATGATTCTGAAGTAAGATTTAAAATGAATATGTTCGCCTTGAATCATATTTAAAAATAGAAATCTGTCGATCTTAAAAATGAGGAAGTCTTGAAGAAATTTCAATTGAATTTCTATTTAAAATTCTATTAGTTTTTGCAGATTCTATTGAAGAATTCCGCAACTTTACTGTAATTTTTTTAATAGAAAATATCTGACAAAAACTAGTTCAACAATTTTTCTATTGACACATTTTCTACAGCAACTTCTCGACCTGAATGGTCAAATTTTTTCAAAAATATTTTGAACTATTCTCGAAGGCACAATTTACGATAAATTAATGAAACCGTCGGCCTCAATTATCGAATCCTCTCTTTCGCTCTCTAAAACAAATTCCCTCAGATATTAAAAATATTAAAACGACTAGAGCCATGCACTCGCGTATAATTTGTACATAATTATTATCGTTTCCGCCGAAATAAAAGTTTTGAATACTCACCAATTAGTGACGTGGATAAAACAACTCGAGTTGAAAAAGCGATGGAGATGAAATTAATTGACTCTCAAATGGTGAATGCACTCCAATATTTCTCCTCGAGTGAGTTCCAGATAATTCATCAACTTCTGAAAATTCTAAGGAGCCAAAGGAACGGGCAACTTGAGGGGTGAAGTAAGATCTCGAAGGAATAAGAACACTCGGAATTGTACAAATTGATCATATAATTTTTTTATTTATTAAGAAATTATGCATGGATCATAGTAATTGCATGACACTGAGAGCGACAGAATTTTTGCGTCGCAAGCTGCATTCATAATTGCCACTTACTTATCAAGTTTTTTCTCATTTTCATAGAAAAATTGAACAAAATTGTTTACATCATTTCTAAATATTTCTAGATATTAAACACAATGGGTAACAGATATTACAAATATATTCAAGTACTCCAAAGGGTTGAATTTACACTGACGATTACTGCTCATTGAATCTGATACTTTCTGGGTTATAGAGGGGAGGTATGAAATTCTCGAATGCCATTGGATTGTACCAAGGGCTTCATTATGCTATCATAATCACCCAAAACCCCTTTCGATGCCTTCCATTTGGATTTATATGGCTTTGATGGCTGTAATCGTCGGCCGTAACGAGATAGCTCTGATACTGTTATGATTGACATCATCATGGAAAAACTTATGCGACAGTTCGCAAACATCTGAACGTCGCGTTGACAATACAAATATCCCGGGAACCACAGAAGAGTCATGAAGACGTTTTGCATGACAAATGTAGGAAGATTCATCAGATGAAATGGTTTTTGTGTAAGGTTATGGCTCATAGTCCTCGAAACATTGGCATTCAAAGATATTGGCAAAATCCATTTGGTATGAAATTCCGCACATTTTGTGTGCGACACATTTTCGGGAGTTTTCAACGGTTTTCGAGATATTTCAATAGACAGTGCTGCATTGAACGATTGTATGGGCCAAAGCGAGGGTCAAACAGGGCTTTAACCCATAGGATGTGACTTGGAGTTGACCCTGTGAAGGGCGAGAGCCAATTTGATGAATAGAATGGGTCAAATTGAAGGTCAATATGACGAGTAAGGTTGACTCATGCGATTTAATTTTCTAAGTTGAGTCTTCTAATCGGACCCGCATTGTTGACCGTCATTTAGATCCACATGACCTCAATTGACCCTTATTATTTGACCCTCAAATGATTAAAATAAAACATGGTTCATCAAACATCTGAATTAATCGACAATCTCTCATTTCACTGGACATTTTAATCTGCTGAAAAGCTCGAACTGAGGGTCAAATAAGGGTTTACCCCATGACCTTTGAGTATGGGTCAAATTGAAGATTGAAGACCCTCAATGTTAACTCCTCTATCTAGAATCTCTTGTTGACCTTTAGTTTAACTCGCGCTCGACCCTCGTCACTTGACCCTCGAGGATCAGCGAAGGGTTAACCCTCATGTGTCAATGAAATATAAAACTATAACAGGTCAGTTTGATCCCTGTAATTGAACCCTCATTCTTAACCCTCCGTGCGACCCATATGACCTCGGTTGACTCTCATCCTTCATATAAGAATTCTCAAGGGCTGTTATTTATTTAAAAGAAACATTGCTCATCAAACACCTAAATTGATCCACAATCTCTCATGTCGCAGAACATTTTAATGAGTGAAAACACTTGAACTGAGGGTTAAACAAAGGCTTAACCCATGGTTTTTAAGTGTAGGTCAAGCCGAAGATCAACATAACGAAGTAGTTTGACCCACGCGTTTTGACCCTCAACCATCAGTCAATCAAATCCTATTTTTTACCCTCAATTTAACTAACGTTTGGCCCTCAATTTGACTGGCGATTGACCCTCATAATTGACCCTCATGGGTCAACTCAGAGTTGCCCTTCACGGATCAATGAAATACAAAAGAAATTAATTCTAACAGGTCAGTTTGATCCCTATAATTCATTCTTGACCCTCAGATCAACCCCCATGACCCCGATTAACTCTCACCAACAGATATTTAACCAAAACAGCTGCCAAAATTGAACCCAAGCATAAAAATTCTCATCAACCACCCGAAACTAATCCACAATCTCTCATCTCACTGGAAATTTTAATCAGTCAAAACGCTGAGACTGTTCTCACCCTTAAAATTTAATTTACGTCATCATTTGACACAACCCGAATATTCGCAGCAGGGATACCGTGAGCGGGAAAAACACTGACACACAACAACAACAATGTCGACGATTTCATTTATTCTCCATCTCTCTCATCCACCAGACGATGGAATTGTCCGAGGGTAGCATCTCCCCGGTTGAATTAACACTCAAACAATTTACATATTACATATCGATGAATAAAATCAATGCTTGCTCACCGTACTCAGTCAATTCCCCATCGTCGTTAAAGTTGCATGATTTAATTATTAATACCACCATCTTTACTTTTATCCTCTCTCACCTCCTTTGAGACTTGAACATCTCGAAGATTGAGAGAAGGGGGTGAAAAAAAATTCCCCCGATAATGGAAAAATATCTCAACAATGAAGTTTTAATCGATAATTCGAAGAGTGGTAAGTATCACACAGCTGAAGATGAGATATCTACTTTTAGAATTTTCGTTACTCTCTTTTCCACTTTCTACCTCATTAACACTGAATAAAGTCAATCAACAGATTTTTCCATTGTTATCTTTAACGATCAACGAAGAAAACTAAAAGATTTAAAAAAATTATCAGGACCAATTAGTTGTAACAAGCACCAGCATTTACATTTAACATAAAATGAAAACCCAACGATAATGGACGTGTGGGCCATCTCCATTCATTGATCTCATCGTATCCATAGCATCGTGTCTTTCATCAAAGCCAAACGAGGATAGACAGGGGCTTTGTTAACGATATAGTGAGGATGGGTAGGAAGAATGGTGATGATAGAGGTGGGTTTTGTATGATGATTACACGTGGAAATGATTCCCCTCGTGGTATAGTCTACCGGCTGAGAAGTAGACAACCCAGTGCAGAAACTACATGTAGGGCAATGTAGAAACGTGGTGCTGGTGAGCATGCCTCAGCAAGGGCGTATGCATTCAACGATATACAATCGGTGTATGAGCCTGGGTTGACACACGTGACGGAACACCAGTGTTGGTGTGCACAAGTACCACTCAGGGCACCACCACATCCAGTACGATGGGCAACTTCACGTGGTAGAAATACTGTATTCGCTGCGTAGTATCTGTAATATTATCGCCAAATGGGGACAACTTTTCAGAGAGGTGAGAGGAAAATTTGCTGGTGGAATGCTTCGAAACTGAGGGTTGATCGCATGGTTCGATCCAGTGTATTTGACCTTCGTGGGTTAACATTAGTGGGTCAAACATGGGGGTAAATTGTATGGGTCAAAGTGAAGACTTGACGTATGGGTTAAACTGAGGGCATTTGACCTTTTTACTTGACTCTCAATTTGACCCATAATATTAGACTCTCATGCATCAAATTAGAAGCTCAGTTTGACCCATACAATTTGACCCTTCGAGTGAAAAATGTTCTGACAGGAAAGCCTACAAAATTGGCTTAAATTTTGTATTGGACCCAGAATTTTTAATCCGCATGGGTGAACATTGGTGGGCCAAATATGGAGGGTTAAATTGTATGGATCGACGTGAAGACTTAACATGTGGGTTAAACTGAGAGTCAAGCATGATGCACTTCCGAGGGCATTTTATCTTTTTCCTTGACTCTCAAATTGACCCACAACATTTAACCTTCATGCTATGTCAGTCAACCCATGCAGTTTGCCCCTTAATTTTGATGCTTCGGTGGGAAAATTTGCAGACGAAAAGCTTTCATACTGGAAATTCATATTTTTGTGTGACTCAGAGTATTTGACCTTCATGGGTCAAATTAGTGGGACAAATGAGCATTCACTCACCTAGTAAAAGCATTATCATTGGTCTTCACAAATCTCCCAGCGAGATCGTGTAAATTCTTGGCATTAATATCTTTGAGTTCATAATACGACAGCAGAGAGTACTGCTCCTGCCAGTTAGCCCGGCCCTTTGCATTGGCCTCCTGCAGATCCAGATACCACTGTGTATAATCTAATATCTGTCGATTAATCAAACAAACGTGACTGTTAGGCACTTTCAATTCTCGATGCGCAGGAGAATTTTTTTATTGATTTTCGATAACAAGCACTGGCTTTTACCATCGCCCAAAACAACGGCCAAACTCACTCAACAAAATCAAATAATGGCACGGGGTAACGAAGCTTCCATTGAACCACCTTTTCCTCGTATTATAATTTTGTGTTTTACCGGTTTTTGCTTATGAATATTTTACAGAAAACGGGGAGGTGAACAATGGCCGTGAGTGGAACGTCAATACCTCTCACAATATGCCAGAATGAGGAAGAAGGCTATTGCTGATAGAATTTCACCTACCTTTCCCGAGCTAGTTTCATACTTGTACAATCTCAGTCCTGGATTATTCGGGAAGTTTGGCCGACCCGGAGTGATACTCGGCGCTATCATGATCCACGATACAGGCACTCCTGTTGACATCACAAAAATATCACGTGAAATAAAAACAGCGAAAACAGCCGTACAAACGGTTGAGTTCTTCCAGTGGTACCTGGGACATATCAAACATGAAAGTGAAACAATAACCCAGAGAGCTGAACAAAAAATACAGCTGGTAAAAATGGAATACAATGGTGTTTAAAGTTGTAACGTCACGAATGAGGGAATGCAAAATGGATGGAAAAGCTGAAATGTTGGAGATGTGGAATGAAAATGAAAAAAAAAATGAAACTAATGTAACTGCATCGAATGGTCTCGGGCTTTTGGTGGTGAAAAAAATTCCCAACTGACGATTGGATTATCTGGGGAACTATTGGCGAGTTTTCGATATGTGCCGCATAATAAATGTGCAAATACTCGTGAGGAATAAAACAGCTTTTGGATTTTTTCTGTGTGACAGAGTTTTTGAAATATAGACATTCGTCTGATTGTGAGAAGCTGATGACATTCCGTTCTTGAGAGGATCCAAACGAACGTCAATATCTCGCAAACTGTGGGTCGCAGAGATCTGAGTTAAAACTCATTTTATTCATCATAAAATTCCCTACATTTACTACGCGCAGTGTCTCGACCATCGGTCAATAATTTTTGAACTACCCACCGATTGCTTGCAGACATCCATTTGGACTTTCATTACAGCTAAAGTTTCTGCTATCACCACAACATCAATTAATTAAATCATCAACATACCTTCATCGTATATAGTCCGAAAGGTATCTGAGTGCCAGTGTCCATAGAATTGTCCCCCAATTATGCTCGCATAACGTCGTACAAGCTGTAGATAACGCCTGTTGTGAGAATCCTGAAGGAGACTAGCGCCGCTTGCCCTTTCGTCAACACCCGGCGGTGTATGGCCAACAATGTACACCTGTACACAAGCATCACATATACATAGACTCGTGTATGTGCCGCCATGTCGCGAGTAGAAACTTCCGATTATATACGTCCTGTTGAACCATCCGAGCAACGAGAGTTTGCACTCGGTCTCTGCAGTTTCACCGGTGCTCGCTCCCCCTCATTCCCCACCCCCGTCCGATGATCAATTTCCATTACACGCGTAATTTGCTCGGGATATAAGGTGTCAGAGTTGGTGGAGGAGTGAGAGAAAAGGTTGGACTGTGGATATACCTCTGAAGTTGGATGAATTGGTGGTAGGTAAGTGTGGACAGACAGACTGGGACTAGTTGGAATACCCGAGTGATGGGTGTGCCGAGAGCTGAGGGAGTTTAAATGATGATAATGGAGAGAATCTGGATCTGCTCTTTATACCCATTATTTCTGTATTAGTTTAGCCACTCACGGGCGAACTACCTAGGAGTGAATATCATTGTCGCGGGGATTAACTGAGAGTAAGTTGAAAGAGTTGGTATCAGAGCAATGATTATTGGGGGGGG